TGCCACTGTGGTCTTGTTGCAACTTATACTTTGCCATCCATCTATTCCATGGTCGCACCCATATCTGTAAGATAATGGATACAGATAGAGTTTTCATAAAATCTAACGATCAAGAAGTCTGAAAGTTATGTCCATATCCCACCACAGCCACTAGTCGTAAATGAATTTGATTCCGGGTAGCATATCTTTTTTACCAATGACAATAAAAAGGCATTTTGAATCAAGTGTACAAGCACCATTAATTAGGATAGGATTTATCTGGGGTGGAGCCAGTTATTTGTTTTCGGAAGCATGGACTTGGATGGTGGGGAATGGTCGTAACCGATCAGCGGTCATGTGAACCACCCTCAGTGGGAATAGAGCTGCAATCCTCTCGCACATCCCCGCATAGGATTGAAGCCTGTGAAACTACCAGGGTGATCAGAGATGCGGTGGCGAGCGTATTCCTAGATGGCGAATTCAATTGAATTCTCGTTATTTTTTCCAGGCCCCGTGGTGTTAAACTTTAGTTATCCATTCAACCTTTCACACTTAGTAATAGATTACCTGCTAATTAGGGAAACAATACCTTATACTATGAGGCTTATAGCAATTGATTATTAATTCCTTACTGTCTTACACAAGTCAAGTCTGCAACTGCAAGTAGCCCACTCCTAGGCCTACTAATAACAGTAGTTTGTCATCTGCTTTCCATTGAAATGAGGGAGCTTGTGAATATTTAAAGAAATTGATAACGGCACACTAACACCACATTATCACTCACCATCAACGAAGTGCTGTCCGCAAACAGTGAAACACAAGTGAGATGGCTTCTGGACTTGACACCAAGCAGTTCTGTCAATAGGCAATAGATGATATCCACATTGCGCGACGTTCCGGATCTTTTGAAATCAGTGGAATATACCTTAAGATCCATTTCGTTGTCTATATACTATACGTACAGCCAACGGAACAATACGAAATAACCATTTTCAACAGCCAAACAAAACGGAAACGTATAATCCGACTTGCAACTGACAGGAGCCAAATGGACGTTTTTGTTTTATTGCCGTCCAGTAACAAAGTCACGTGACCCGTGCAAGTCCTCCATAGTCTATAAGTCTGCTGAATAGTCAAGAAGAGTCATTAAATTAATCATAAACATTTCATGCAAGCCAGAAAATATCGTTGTTTGTGATATATTATTCTAGGTCTAGCTTTCCTTGGAGTTACCGCACCGTACCTATTCAACAACGTCTTATGAGCTAGTGCTCAACTAAAATGGCTATTTATGGTAAGGTTATACAAGTGTTTAATATCTTACTTATACTTTTCAACACCTCCTTAGAATAACTGAACTAATAATAACTGAAAAAAAAAACTATGGAAAGGCTACTCAACGCAAAAGCGAGCAGTAGTAGTACATCTGATATTCATCCGACCACTGGGGATCCACCTACAGCTGACTAATTTGATTGTTACGTCATGCAGCAGTCTGCGTTCATTGGCCCATGATACCGAAAAAGCCGAGAAAATAGGACAGATGGTCACACATATTTATTGTAGTGTATGAGTCTTTTCTGTAAAACGTGCAACTTTTGGAAGTGAGAACAAGGCAATATTTGTTACTAAATTTTTAAGGAACATTTTAAAATCATTTTCAGGTAGTTACCTTATGTGCGCCACGAAACTGAAAGATAAATGGCCTCGGCTCGCGGACTAGTATGATTTTGCGAGGGCGATAGAAGAGAGTCACGACTCACGAGGATAGGAAAATACAATATCCTCAGTCCTGGCAAAAAGAGAAGCAGGCTGGCAGTGATTGGTTCTCAGATTTTATGAGGAGAAATAAAAACATATCGGTATAAACACCTGAATCAACATCGATAGCACGGATGTCTGCTTTCAACGAACACAATGTAGGAATATTTTTTGACAACTTGTATGAAATCATGAACGAGTACCATTTTAAGCTCTATGAGACCCTTTTCTCCTAACCCCAAGATCTTGGAAAATTTATCAATTTTGGATATGATTTGTATCCAGTATTTCAATTTTGTCGGCACTAACAAATGTAATCATTTTAAGCATCCAACTATAATCCATGCTGGATCCGAGTGTTCTTAACCATGGGGACGTCATCATATTTTTTTGATGTATAATTTTCATTTTACTACAAGGTCAAACTTATTTGTATGAAGATTTCAAAGCTTAAAAATAAACAAAGAATCTGTTGTTAGTTGAAAACGAAGTATTTTAAACGCGCGAGCAACGTTTTCCGGCTCATAATAAACAAACAAAGATACCAGACAGCACGCGATCAAATACTCTTCGATAAAACAAATATCACTTCATTTCAAAAGCCCACTCTTGTTTTGTTTTGAAGGTGACGTGAAGCTCGTCCAGAAGAGAACTCTTTTTCTCGCATATCGATCACGTGTTGACCACAGCGTTAAAAGTGAGAAACTTTTTCTCAAAATTGTTGGAAAATTCTCTCTTCTTACCGGCGTATGGTCGGGACGCGTTTGCTCTACTTAATTCAGGCGGGTTTTAGTGGGAAGCGAAGAAAATAAGCTTTTTAAAGAGATATTGGGAAATGTACGATAACAGTTTGTTGTGCTGTAAACGCTATTGAAAACACTGTGCCACCAATGTTCCTATTTCCAAAAGTTAATTTTTGCTCATATTTCCCTAATTGCTGCCCAGCAGGCGCTGTCGGGGAGGAAAACGGTTCTGGATGGATGAAGATGGAAAATTTTGTCCAATATTTGGCACATTACCAGGCCCATGTGCGCTGCACCATTGACCTCATGGGATTGTTCTTCTGTCGTTCCCGCCGCATTGCTCACACAAGCTACAACTCTTGGATGTATCAGTCTTTTTTGCTTTCAAAAAATATTACGCTGGTGCGATAGAAAGTCGACTAATTTCGAACAAGGGGGAACGCCCAGAGCTTCTATAGGTCGTTTTCCAAAACAGGTATCTACCCTTTGGATAGAAATATTTTTGTCGAAGATGACTTCTCCCCATCTCTGGCCACTGAACGTCCGCCCCCAGAAGAAGTTCACGTAGATAACCGAGGGCCATCGCAGGTCGAGTCTGAAACCGGAGTGACTCCAGAAATGGTCCGACCAATCACAAAACCCAAGCTACAGGAGCGAAAGATCGTTGTGAGAAGAAAACAGAAAAAATCCTGTATTTTAACTCGAACTTCTGAAAAAGACTTGGCTTTGCTAGATATCTGAAAAAGAGTGCATCCAGTACAAAAACTATGCAACGCAAGATCCCCAGGAAAAGTGCGATGGTCAATGATGAATCGATCTCAGATGAGCGGAATGTTAGGTCTATTCACGACACCACTGATGACAGCGAGGAAGATATAGAGAAAAAGGCCGAATCATTCGAGCAGGGCACCATATCCATCGCGCACCATATCGGAAAAATTCCGGAAGTTTCTGGTACGAGCGACGCAGAAACCGTAGTAGAGATGAAAACAAGATTTTTAAGACGAGTGGATATGAGAAGAACCAATGCCATGGCATTTTTGTACCCGCGTGAAGAAGACGTCTATTTGCACCGAAAGATGACATATAACGAAGAAGCTTCCTGCGCCGATGCGCATAGGTGGCACTGCAAGATGTGCAGAAAAGCTAACTTTTGCTGTGGATATATCCCCATATGATCCTTTGTGAAGTCCAGTGGTTGAATTTAAAAAAATTCTTTGAGTTTGTTAACTTGTTCGTCATTTTTCTTTTACTTTTCAACTTGCCCCATGACTGGTCCAAGCTACCCCGTCCTCGGGGCATGTTGGAACGAATTACACGCGCACATTCGAGGTCCAATTTCTTGCAGACGAAATGCGTTGTGGGAAACTAAAGGTTACTGTTAGCAATAACATAGATACGTTGTGCGCCAAAGACGTTGTAATGTGGTACATGACTGCAGAAATAATTACGAATAAGTAGTCATATGTTCCGACTATCCCCGGTCACCCCACTCCCCTACAAAATGTTACGTGCGATTCTGTAGTGGTAACAATTAAAAATTCTTTTGTTTTTAAATAGTTCCTTTTGTGCTTGTAGTTCTCATTTATCATACAATAAAATTCATTTAAACTTACAATTAAAGCGAAATCATTTTTGGGTGGAAGAGTATAATCCATATGTTTGCAAGTGTTAAAAAGACATGCCCTGGTATCAATTACATTCTTCATATCCGACATGGACTGGTAACCGGACCTGAGGCCGTTGTTTGCTATATTATCGAATAAAATTAGCCATGATCAAAATATTGAAAATATCAATTAAAATTTCGTAATTCTCCACTTTGTAATTTTGTTTTTGATAAAAGACATCCCCCAAAATATATTTCGAACGAAAATTGAGAAAAGACCGAGTCTTATTTTCGGGAAACACGGTAAACCTGCGCTACACTGCACATACAGTAAAAGACGTTGGCAGTTGGGCGGCGATATTTTGTCCTTGAAAAACAAAACCAGATATTGCAGTATTGAAAGAGTGGCTGGAAATGAAATATGTTTGTAATATTACGCAGTGAAGACCGGTTTGTGTCACGCATTTTTTTTTGTCTTGTGACAGTGTGAGTTTACCCAGGAAATTTATGATGATTTTGTTTACTTAATTTTAAAATAATCAGAATACATTTTGTTATAAATTATGATTCTTGTATAGTATTGACTTTTGATGATCCTGTATTAAGTCCTTAATATTTATAAGTAGTGTAGATTTAAATGCAATTATTCTTTTGTTATCAATAGTTCAGAAATCGTATAATATTTGAAAATAAAATACCTGATAATACTCTCCTTATTAAAAAGCAGAAAAAAATGAATGTATAGAAAGAGTAACAAACCCTTTGAAAAGGAATAACAGAATTTATGTAAAGCATTATTTTAAATAGTAAATCAGGTTTATGATAAGTTTTATACATCAACTAATTTTTTTTTTCTTTTTTTATTGTATTATATCATTGTAATTATCAAAATAACTTTATGATTATGACTAATTATCACTGCTGAAACAAACTGGAAAAACTATGAAACTCAATTTCAACAAATGGATTATGAACGCAAAATGGAGTATGGACTTTATTTTATACATTTATTGCATATTTATTAAAATTACTCATTGAGTGAGCCAATCAAAAAAAAAGAGATGTTTGGTGCTGTCTGCCCTCTTTATATTATGAATGTCATATTTTATTAATATTTCTATATCTAATCTTTTATGCAGACATATGTCTTTGTATACTACAGTGTGTCATACTTCTTTAAACTGCAATTTATCATGTTGAGGCAAGTTATGTCGTTAATGTGGCCATCTGCTATTCGGTCTACAAATCATTTTATCATTAGAAATTTATCGAGCAATAATTCAGGAAGAAAAAAACTCATAATTTTAGGCACTGGATGGGGAAGTTATAGTGTTCTCAAAAATATTGACAAAAAGCAATACGATGTTGCGGTAGTAAGCCCTAGAAATCATTTTCTTTTTACTCCATTACTGTGTTCAACAACTGTTGGTACATTGGAATTTCGAAGCATCATTGAACCTGTGAGGAATAGCCATTTTCGCCACAGCAAAGATTATCACTTCTCCAGTGCAGTGAGTGTTGACTCTAGCAGAAATGTATTGCTATGTAAAAGTGAAGTGGATGAATCTATCAGATATGAACTTCATTATGATAAGCTTGTTATAGGTGTCGGTGCTGTCAGCAACACATTTGGAGTACCGGGAGTGCTCGAACATGCGTGTTTTCTTAAAGAAATTAAAGACGCCCGTGAGATCCGCAGCAGGATCATAAACAACTTTGAGTTGGCAGTGCAACCGAAATCTACTCAAGAAGATCAAGAAAGGCTACTTCATATTGTAATAGTTGGTGGTGGACCAACTGGTGTTGAATTTGGTGCCGAGGTCTATGATTTTCTTAAACAAGATGTATCGTTTCTATATGGTGATATGCAAAAAATAGTTAGAGTGACACTAATAGAAGCTAACCATATACTTGCATCTTTCGACAAACGTTTACGAGATTATGCGGAGAACAAAATTGCAAAAAGGGAACAATTTGAACTCCTTCAAGCAACAGTCTCTGAAGTAAAAAAGGATAGGGTCATATTAACAGATGGGAAGGAAATACCATGTGGATTAGTGGTGTGGTCAACAGGACTTTCACCTAGAAACTTTACAAGAAGGTTACAGTTTCCGAAAAACAAGCAACATCAATTAATAACAAATGAATATCTTAGTGTTCTTGATACACCAGACGACACAATATTTGCACTTGGTGACTGCGCCGAAATAAAAGACAAGCCTTTGCCTAGCACAGCACAAGTTGCTGAAAGAAAAGGTCAATGGCTAGCTAAATACCTCAATGGTAAAGTAACGGAACCTTTTAAATTTCAATATATGGGCATGCTCGCCTACGTTGGGGGATATTCTGCACTATGAAACTTCCACACGGTGGTGCAGATATAAAGTTGAAAGGTTTCCACTCTTGGATACTATGGCGCTCGGCCTACTTAACTGGGCTTGGAAGCTGGAAACTTAGAATGCAAGTGCCTGTTGACTGGATGAAAACGTTTTTCTTCGGCAGAGACTCGTCTCAGTTTTAACCCTTATGTTAACGATTTTCTACCTCTAAGACTCAAGTCAGCATAATACCTATTCCAGTTTCATACACAAGATCTGTTAAGTGTGTCTGCCAATTTTAAATGAATTTTATATATCTGTGGTGTTATAATTTTTTTTCGTATTTCCAATATTCATGTTGCAATATATTGGGAGATGCTCCTTGATAATCAGATTAATAAACTGTTAATGTATATAGTTGATATGCTTTTTCATTGTGGTCACTGCGAACCAGTAAACTTCATTATACCGGTTTCCAATCAATTGTATTTTCTAACTAACAGATATAAAAATAAAATTGTAATCTGAAACATTCAATAATGGCCTTCGAGGAATCGACCAGGTATTCATTTCATACATGTTGAGTAAACTACAGTGAATTGCAATCAAATGATCTTTAAAAAAAAATAGGGCATGTTTTGCTGAAATCTTGGTCCAAAAAGAGTTTTGGAAATCAAGTTTGTTATTCCGAACTCTTCCAATGTCCATGCATTCATTCTACATATTGCCAATGAACAAATCAATTGCACTTCCCTTGGAAAGTCGTAGAAGAATGCCATTCCAATATTGGATATTATTAAAATAGCTCTCCACCCTGTATAATTATTTTCAGATTTTTCAAGGGAATTGATGTGCTGAATTCCACCGAGGGATCTAAGCTTCCAAAACTTGCTAGTCGGGTAGCTCAGAGTATTGGGACAGATAACAAGACACCTTTTACTGATGATGAGAAATACAAGTTATCTGAAGTACTTGAAATCAATACAGATAGCGTCAACCACATGCTTGAAGCAATAAAACATATATATGAGAGGGTAAGACGAGCAATTCTGGAACAAACTGTCCACCACCCATGTCTGAAGGATGACCATAGAATGTTATTTTCAGGCAGCATACCATAGCTGGAAACCAGCCATTTTATCAGAGCAACTGTCATCTCTTGGTATGGATGAAGAACGTAGTGGGATGGTGTCACAGGGTTGGCAAAAATATGGAAGAGATATGGTGTCCCGATTGAAGAAAAAGACATTGACAGCTAATCAGGTACTAATTGATTTATAATAGTAAAGATTGCCAAACAATTCAGCACTCATCCATGTGCCTTATTATATCTCTAGCTTGACAGAGTGGACTGGCATCTCAATCTGCAAGTGGCACAGGGATCAAAGTCAAAAATCACCGAACCGAATGTAGTTTTGCAGCTAAATGTGAACGATTCCAGTGAGAAAGGCAGTCATGATGTTCTGATGGAATTTAATCACGAAGAGCTTTTAGCATTTTATAATAAGGTAAGAACAAAAGCACCAACTCTATCTGGTAAGGCAACTAATTAACAACTTCTATTTTTAGCTGGAAACTATTCAAGAACAGATGGATGCCCTAAGTTGAGAACATACAACAGGCTTGTATGACATATTCTCGGTGCAATAAATTAGATTTTTTTTAAATTTTTTCATTAGGAATTAAGCATTAATAAAGTCACTTTATCATTTAATCTGTCATGATTCGACTAGTTTTGTCATCGCGGGAACGGCTTTAAATAGATCTTCAACTAATCCATAATCAGAAACTTGAAATATGGGAGCTTCAGGATCTTTGTTAATCGCTACAATAGTTTTACTATCCTTCATTCCGGCAAGATGTTGAATAGCTCCGGAAATACCCACAGCAATGTACAATTCCTGCAAGAAGAGTGCAATGTAAATTTATGAGAAAGAAAAAAAATGGTGTCACAGGCCACGGTTAGCGGTAATAAGCAGAATGGCACTTACCGGGGCAACAATCTTTCCTGTCTGTCCAACTTGCATATCATTAGGAACAAAACCTGCATCAACCGCAGCTCTTGATGCACCAACAGCAGCATTTAGTTTGTCAGCAAGAGTATAGAGTAGCTCAAAATTCTCTCCATTCTTCATTCCTCTGCCTGAATTTGGAAATAAAATTTGTAATACCCTTCACTTACCTCTATACAGAAAACTTTCATAATAAGCATTTTCAAAATGCAGACCAAACAAAATCTGCAAGGGTATATTATGTGCCAATAAAATTTGTCAAAAATTCAATCGTCTCTCACCAATAGGGATGCCACTTTTGGATTTACGAATCGGATCGATTCGAATCGAATCGCATCTTTTCCGGATCGATTCGAATCAGATTTACGCGATTCGGAAAAAGAGAGCGATTTAGCGAAAAAAAAAACATTGAACGTTTGTTAAATCGTCGTTTTCGGCGGCTTTAAATCTGCCAGAGTGTGTTTATGCGGCACTCCAAATAACGCCAAATTACGGGACCGAAAAAAAAACATTGAACGTGTGTTAATTGTTGTTTTCGGCGGTGTTAAAACTACCGAATGCGTTTATGCAGCACTCCAAATAACACCAAATTACGGGACCGAAAGAAAAACATTGAACATTTGTTAATCGTTGTTTTCGGTGGCGTTAAAACTGCCGAATGCGTTTATGCGGCACTCCAAATAGCAACAAATTACGGGACGTAAATAAATGAAAATGAATTTTTCGTGATTGACTTTTTTACTTGTCTGCCGTCATTTGTTTCAAGTTCGACACAACACACTCTTTTACGCATCACTCGAGATGATGTGTGGCGTAATTACCAGCAAACTGCGAGTTCAGTTTTCCACTAAATAGCCGAAGTTTCCATTATGCGCGAATTTAAATGGATCGTATACCTGAAAATTCGTGACAATTTTGATGAAAATTTTCAACAGCACACCTGCGCTGCGACTAAGTTATTGTACGCCCTGGCATGATTGGATAAAGAATCGGCCACCGACGTCTAGATAATGTTTAATTTTGATTGAAATTTAATTTAAACTTTGTTCTGAGAGCAATATTTTGCGTACATTTGAAGAGAACTATTACTAAATGAGTTCATCGGCCGGCAATGTTAATTGACAATCATGTTTCTCATCCTAAAATATATATTTATTTTGTTTGCGTTTGTCAGGCTTGCACTCGAGTGGCGATAAACGAAATCAGGGGGACATAATGTAATAGTACATACACGTCTTTTTTCAGCTGTTACAAAAAAAAGTAGTATTTACTTTTAATTTTGTTAGCGCGATACAAGCGAATAAAACATTTCGGATTATTTCGAGCAAATGTCATAACGGACAGGTGGGAGTAAATAATACTTGAGGAATGGCAACTTGTGCACTGTTTTACATCAACACGTGGCAGATTTCATACCAGACCGAGCATACTGTGCGAATGTCGTCTTACTTTAGCCCCAGCGACCATGTCCGATCGAGATAAAGCGTCAACCAATTATCGCTCGTCAGCGCGGCATCCATTATGCACATTTGGACTTTCTGAATTACGAAATTAAACGTAGTCCACATTAATAATGATGCCCGAGTTAGCCAATAACGCTGTTAGCCACAAATAATACTTTCTCTAATATTTATGGAAATGTTTGTTCGCAATCGTAGTCGGATGAACGATTGTTTTTATCGAATTTAATTTAATCGTGGTTAATTTTATCGTCTTCAATCATATTCTTGTAAGCATTTCCCATTTATAGTAATTCGGATGCAATTAGAATGTTTTTGTCGTATTACTCTATGCTGCTAGCATAAATATAAAATATTGTACTAAGATTTTGAAGATAAAGAATCGGTAATAAGGCCCGCCTTAGTTCAATATAACAAGAAGGGAAATACCACGGTCACATATACTGGTGTGGGACAAGGAAAAGCAGTGCTGTTACTGTGTTTACGACATAACAGTACAACTGTTCCCTGCTTATTTTCTCATATGAATTCCATCAAATTGCCTCAGCCCTGATACAAGTATAACACAATAACTCAGTATTGTAAGACTCACAGATAAGTTGCAACAGCAAGTTTTTCATCAATGCATTTATTAGTGATATCTATGACCTACATCTTTTTTATCATGATGAAAATAAGTGTGGCTTATTCACTGAAAAACCCTTATCATCCTTGCTATATAGCCTATTCCATTTTCAAATTTTTTTCTTCTAGATTTGAGCTTTTTTGTGACTTTGGGCAAACATACGCATGTAATAAAAAAAAAAGCTTAATGGAATCAGATTCGGAAAGATTCGATTCGAAAAGTTTTGATTCGAGATTCGATTCGAAAAAAAATGTATCCAGAAGTGGCAACCCTACAGTCACCAATGCATAAGTTGTTGGCTGAATATGCATTCTTTTAAAAATAAAGATGTCGCAATTATTCAAAATTGAGACCAATATACTAAGATAAAAAGAATAGTTTATATTTATACTACACTGGGATGTAAGCATATTTTATACTAATGTAGATTTGTCTACCTCCTGATATCACAGTTTTTGCTGCAGTGAGTTCTGGGCGATCACTCTTGCTCAGTTCTTGTCCAAGAAATTTGGATTGGTCATTTGAAACATCAGACGTGAAAGCTGAAAAGTAGTAAGAAATAATCTGTGTGCATGGAGAGAGGGCATTGCACAACAGTTGTATCAAGCTTGGTCTGGAAAGGTCAGGGAAATTTATAAGGCTTGAAGAGCTTTGCTTGCGTAATGAAAAAATCAAACTACTCGGGTTACTCACGTGGGCAACTCAATACACCAGGCTACAGAGTGCCACAAGATCTCGCTCATATGGACAAACATTTTTATTCAAGTTCAGTAAATTATCTATGTGAGTTTATGACAGAGCAAATCTTGGACTTAATATAATCCTTATAAATTCAAGGCAGTTCTCTATGACAACTTGCACATACCAACTATTGTCTGGTGTTATTTATTAGAAGTGGTTGACCAATCTTAGGCATATCATCAGAAGGGTCCATAACATCGAATAATTGCGAACCCATGGTCTAGCGGTGATGTGATAAAAGTTTAACGAATTACATTGGAAAATATTTCTTATATTATGTTCATTTCAAGTAATAGCTACCTTCTTGAGTTGCGCTCCCGCCATCTTCTGCTGCTTCAAAGCAAGTTCCTCGTACTGTTAATACTTTTACTGATTCTGTTACTTTAACTGTTTGAATTGCATTGCCTGGAGTAAAAAAATAGTTGCTAATAGTAATGTAAACAATAAAGAGCTCAAAATATAATTGGCCAAATTGTGTTCAGAACTGAGAATCAGAATATAATTAGTCGACGCTCCAGAAGTGTGTGTTGTGTACCAATATGGAGGTAACTAATTTTGTTCGTCTACCTCACATCAAGTTGCGTAAAGGGACTGAAGTCTATGGGCAATGGGGTATATTCACTTGCCCAACACAGAAGGTCCCTGAATTCGTAATAGAACTAAAATAAGGAAAATCTGAGTAAAGTTATGGCCTAACCTGGTACACACACTACGAGAGTACATCTGATGAAATCTATCTACAGATAATTAATGAACTTGTGATAAGAAAAAGGATCACAAACTATACCTGCATATATTGTTCTCACAAAAGTGTCAGGAGCTTTTATATCTATGATATCAGAAATCGCTGCTACATCCAGCTTTGCAGCCACTCTTGGCATCAAGTTCTTTCCAAGTGCACTAGCACCAGCCAATATATGAGAGTATGAAAACTGAGATTGTGCAGCAACAATTAAAGGAGTAAGAGCCTCAGGAAGAAATCCACTGAATGCATCATTTTCAGCAACTAAGATTTTTGAAACTCCCTTTACTTCACTTAGTTCTTTTGCAGCCTTTAAAAATGAACAGTAACAAATTTGTTTTCACAAAGTCAAACAGAAAGTTACAGAATCCACTAGAATAATTATTGAAATATACTTGAAACATCTCTAAATGTTATGTAATTGCTATCTATTTCATTACAATTTTGAAAATCTTTCCAAATAGTCAAAATTTAACCTCTTCAAACAGCCAAATGAAATTGGCAAACCCAAAAATATGATTTCCATTTACTTGGCTAAAATTTTAGGTAGGTTTTGAATCATTCACAATTTTTACCTTTGCACAAGACTTTCCCGCCAATAGACAATTGACATCACCGCCAAGCTTGCTGGCTGCAGTAATAGTGTTCAGCGTGACTGGAGAAAGTGTGTCACCATTTTGTTCAGCAATCACAAGGGTACTCTGAAATCTTTGCGCAACATTTCCTACCTGAATAATGAAGAAAAATATTTATACCACTATATTTCTGTATTTAGAAGATGTTGACTATTTGTCTTCCCATCTTTGTTGTCATAGGAAAAGTTCAATAGATACCGGTACTAATACATTAATACAACTATGCCAACAAATAAAAAATTGATAAAAAAAAAATATCTCAAAAGATATCATTTATTTATTAAGATGTCGGTTTACAGACTTTTAGCCCCAGAATAAATCGACTTGTATTAATATTTAATAAATCCCAAAGCGAATGTAAAATGAGGTTACAACACAAATCGTATAGGCCTACACTATAGCTGCTATTCAAACACACCTGTCGAAATAAATTGGTTCTACCGATCGAAGATAACATTTTGAAACAGAAAAGTTGATTCAAACAAATTGACAAATCTGAAAAACAATGATGATGCAGGTCAAATCACAGAAATACGAGGTGCGCACAAATAACCACTAGGCTAACATAAATTTTCCTTATCCCTATTATTATCGCTCTCTTTCCTATCTCACTCTGAAGAAAGATTCCTATGCCCACTCCAGTATTCCCGTCATAGTTTCCCCCACCTACGAAAAATGTCAAAATCACAGTTAATTTCGGTAAAAGTTTAATCAGCTCTATATCGACATCTTGTGGTGACATTAAAATCAATCATTCATCGCAACAATAAACATTGCGCAATCACAAAATTGTTTGTGGTAGTTTATGGTAAGGTTTACATGAGTATAAGTTTATTTCGAACTCCCTCGAACTTACTGAACCTCGACTTTAGCGTCTGGTAATGTACTGTAGGTACCGATGTCTCTTCGTTTATGCGTGAGGAGTACGTTCAAAACATTCCATAAACAAAACAGTACTTTCATAATGCCAAAGTCTGCGGGAATTATTGTAATAGGTGAGAACTTTTAATATGCCTAGAATAATTGGCTCCATTTTGGCATTTCATCAGTTTGCTTTTTGCTGTAACTTAGATTGGAAATATTTCATTGTACCGTTATAGTAGTATAAATGTTATTTGATGAAAATTAAATAGAATTTGAATTAAATTAACCTTTGTCTTAAAAAAATTGAAGTCTTTCATGACTTTCCATAATATCAACTGCTAATTTTTTTATACATATTTTATGTTATTTATTTTATTTGTAATACTGTCGGCAAATTAGTTGCCTATCCACTATATATAACTGTATAAATTAATTTGAAGCTTAGGATTATATCAGTCTTTTATATTAACATACAAAACACATGTTCAATTAATCATTAATATATTAAGCCATTTATCGCTTTGTTTTAAATTTGTGTTAATGTTGAGTCTGTTGACTTTGTTTGACAATTTGAAATCTCTTTCTCAATATTTTAAGAAGATATTCTGATATTAGGATAGAATTTACATATTCATCCCGGGGTGGAGAAAAAGGGGTACTCCCGAAGTATGTGTACCAGGTTGGGGTTAGGTCATAATTTCAGGTACAAATACTATGGGAGTCACTTGGCTTGTCCCCGAACACGTAATAGAACTAAAATAAGGTAAAATGGAATACAATTATGGCCTAACCCTAACCTGGTACACATACTACGTTCCGGTGTCCGCCATCTTGGCTAACATACTTCGGGACTACCGAAAAAGAATATGATAACTTAATCCTATAACAAACCATGGCTTTTCGTCCAGTTACCAGTCCATGTTGGGATTAGTTGCTAGTGAGATTAGTTAGCCAGGTATTCATTTTTAGATGCATACCCCATTAAATACAAGAGACGCCGGAGTGTGTTCGTGGCAGGAGCCGCCATGAAGTGGTAAGAACTGCGCCTCCCATTCAAGCACCCATATGAAAATGAATGATTCCTACTGTACTGTCTGACTGTTGAAAATCTATTTGTAATATCATTGTTGAGAATCATTGAAACATATATATATATTGTCAATATATGTTTCTTGATTTTCGAGATTGAAGTGATATATTCTTAATTTACAACTTATCCTTTCAAGGTGACGAAATTTTGAAAGGGCAAACAAAAGACACAAACTCAATTTTTTTATGTCAACTTCTTCATTCTTTGGGAGTTTCATTAAAGCGAATAACTGTGATTGGAGATGATATTCAAGAAATTTCTAATGAGGTATTCCAAGAATTTAGTTTAAAATTCAAAATATATTTCCATATCATTGTTTTTCTTAATTTTGTATCTGTCTTTTTCATATTTCATGATTTTGTATAAATTTCATTTAAACTGAAATTTAATTGTTACAGTTTTTATTCATTGAAAGGTTCGCATTTTTTCAAACGCATATGATTATGTGTTGACTTCTGGTGGAATCGGACCTACACATGATGATAAAACATTTGATGGAGTTGCCAATGCATTTAATGAATCAGTTGTGGCCAACCAAACTTTAGTGGATCTCTGTACAAGGTAGGGATACCTGGGCTTCTTGAAATGACAAATTTGGCTCATACTTTTCTCTTTCTTTGTCTATTTTCTATGCATCTTTGGGGTCATTAAAAAAGTAAATTGACTTTTCCCGGCACAAATATTCATTTGTCTGGGATATTATATATCTTGATTTATGTTCACTCAAAAAATGCTTGTGCTATTGAATAAATTGAGAAATTAAGACTACTGATATACTAAAATCACAGTGAAATATTCATGTGCAACCAGCGAAAATGTTAAAAATTAATTTTTTGTGAACCTCTAGCAGTGTTTCCCAAAATAGGTCCACCTGAAAATCCTATTTGGTTGCTTTTAAACAAGAACATGAAAGTTATGGATATTACTAACATATATTTTGCTATGCTCTAAGAAAAGCACGTCATGATATCAAAAACTCGCTAGCAAGTACATTTTTTTCCCATTTATTCCCGTTCCTGTTTAATGATATGGAGAAAATTTATTTTATTATTATTTATTTTGTGCCATGAATGCACTACATAGTGTTTAGTATTTGAACACATTCTTGGGTTGCAAGATTTGAAACAATTTTTTTAAAAAAAATGAGTCGCTTGAACAAAAAAGTTAGGAACCACTGCTCTATTGTAAACGAATGAGAAAAAAAATGAGTAATATACTTTGTTGGTATCTCAAGTGTAAGAGTCTACAAGGTTTTTGAAAGAACATGGATGGAAAGACAGGTCACAGTAATAAGTTTATCGAGTGAGCAGCGACATACAAGAATTTGTAACTGACAATTATGCTTTGAAGATGAACGCTGATATTCTTTACAAGCCTGGGCTAGCTTGTGATTGGTTGTCCAACATACTAGTTTAATATTACTTTGATCCACAGTATTTCGTATGTATTCCAATGCTTAGTTAAAACATTTTTTTTCGCAGGTATTTTGGTAATAAGCCGATGAATTCGCCAGAAATGAAAATGGCTCATATTCCAGAATCTGCTGTACTTCACTTTGGACATGATGCTTCTACAGGACGTTCATTTCGATTTCCAGTCATCGCAGTCAAAAATGTTTTTCTATTTCCAGGTATTTTAAAACTATAGAACTGGGTTTCCCAAGCTTTTTTCAGGACGACCCCAAGGACAACTTTAAAGTGCAACCCCAGGCCAATATATATTTTTTTCATGAAACTTTAGAGCTTCTTTCACTGGACTTTCGAGTTTGGTCATGTGGTGGTATTATGTAAAATAAGATAAATCCCCTGGGAACCCCTGGCGTAGATGCATATTCAAAATTTTAAAAGTACATTATCATTGTACAAATAGGTAAGTTTGTTTATTTCTGTAAATCCTTCTCACTGTATATTGCAACGCGGCAAAGAGTTACAGTAGTTCATTTGTGTTTTACAGCCTTGAATATTGGAAGGAAAAAAAATGTAAAATTCTATGAATGCCATTTCCAGCTAAACTACCTTTCCTATATACCTAACTACCTTTCGTATATTTCTTACTACATTCGAACCCATATTGTTTTTTGGTGGCATTTTACATATTCCCATTGGTTTTAATTGCTTTTAAATTCAGTTTATTGCTTTTAATTTATTAATAAATACATCATTAATAAGACCTGTCTATCATAACCATTCTAACGCTTACAAAACCATAGTTTATATAACTCTCTTAAATGTTTATGAAACAACCTGTTGTATATATTTTGTTTTATCCTGGGGCAATAAATACTAAATTCAGCCTTATTACCTCACAGGTATTCCTTCATTACTTGAGAAGTCCGCAGTGAGTTTGAAGCATTTATTTAAAGGAGAAGGTGAGATGGTTAATTATAAAAAGTTTATTCTTGTGGACATTAAATTAATTTAATTGAATAAATTAATTAAATAAAATGTAGTCATCTGTCATGACTATTAACTTTAAACCACATTATATTTCATATTAAGTCAAGCTATTTATAGATTCTGGTAAAGTTTAACCAACAGAAGATGGAATAGTTTGGACTAGTGGTTGGTAAACTTTATGTAAAACTGGACCAAATATACACATTAAATGGACCACATTAAATGCCACCTGTAAACAATCGATACATTGAACATGATATGCCGCACCCGTAACCCCTATTCCTGTAGCAATTACAACTAACAGTAGGTACGTTTGCATAATTACTACAAAACGAACAACATGCGCGACAGCAATTGTTACGACATATATCCAAACACAGATAATAATAAGTTTATGAGCAACTCTTGTTTTATGCAATAAAAGTGAAGTCGTTCGAGGGCCACAAAAAAATTGTTTGCGTGTCGCATTTAGCCCGGGGGCCACAGTTGCCGACCACTTGTCCAGACCTCAAAAACAATAATGATATCATTTGTAACTGCCTCTGCCTCTTATTTAACAAAATGAAATTTTTCAGGTCAGTTTTATACAAATAAAATTTTGGTTGATGAATTAGAAACAGGAATAGCAAAATATTTGTCGGCTTGCCAAGAAAAGTATGATTCTTATTGATTTTTATGCATCAACCTTATCTATTCTTAGAATTCATGATCAAGAAAAATACGGATATAGTGTTTGCAAAGTATTCAAACTGAAAAAAAAAATTTTGAAAAGTTGAATAGATATAATTATCTTATTTAATGTCTCTTAGTGAATTTTCAGTAATATGTAGTAAACTCAATTTAGATATCACTCCGTTGGTGTTGCTATTGGATCATATCCTGATCTTTTCAACAATTACTATAAGGTGAAAGTAGTTGTAGAATCTGTCAATTCTCAAGCAACAGAAGAAGCTACAAAATATCTGATGGATTCAATTCCACAGCACCTAGTTGTTAAAGGTCAGTCAGTGGTTTTATCTATCTATCTTTTTCTATCATGTCCAGGTGATAAGCTTTCCTTTTTGGTTTAGTTTTTTAATGGTAGTCATAGCAGTGCAACTATTTATCATTTATTTTCATTGCATTACATCATGTTCAGTTAGTTTCAAAACTAGTTGACTTTTCTCTTGTCACTTTGCATTCTTTTATGTTTCTGATGCATTGACATGGCTGTAATTAGCAAAATATTTTAAATGACTTGTGATCTGAATTCTGCTCAATAGCAGAAGAGCCAATTACACTGGAAGATTTACCATATGACAAGATAGGATTCACATATTTATCCCAAGGGAGAGAGAAGATGATAAGATGACCTAATCATATGGCGAACCTCAGCCTCTTGTCTGGTTGCCACTCTGTTGGGTATGTGATTAGTTAGCCAGTTATTAGTTCCAAATGCCTGGACTTGATGCTGAGGGAAGATGTACCCGACCAGTGGTTAAGTGAACCATCCCATGGTGGTAAGGATTCCAGCAATCCTCTCGCACATAATTATCCCCACTGGGTTCGAATCTGCAAACCCACGTTTGGTAATCAGAGATATGGTGGCGAGCGTATTCCTAGCTCTTCTCACTGCCGATGTATGTTTGAAAACTTTTGACCTTTTTAGTTCATCATATTTATTTCAGTAAAAAGTTTGATATAAAATATTAATTGTTCAGATTATGTAGAAAATCCAACTGAGCTACAGGGTAAAGATGTTTTCAAGAAGACATTTACGTCACAGTCGTTGTCCAAGAAAGTTGATGAGGCAGTAAGTATTACATGGATACAATAATAATTAATGAACCTCTTCGATCACTATGATACTATATGCCAATTTAGCAAACTGCTATCCAAAATTCTGTAAATAAAAATAAGTATTTTTCTTACAATTTTTTTCAAGCATTATATTTTTATTTTTTCTTGGCATTATTCAACTGCACCATTTTGAAGTATATTTTAAATAAACTGAAACATTTTGTAATTGAAGAATAATCTGGACTTTGAATTTTGCTTACTTTTGTTGTTTTTAATGTTCGAGATATTATTTCATACTATCACCATATACCTCTTATCCGAATATAATTTACACCAGGTTCAAATTATAGAAGAAGCGCTAAGACGATATTCATTCAATGAATTGTGCATTGGTTTTAATGGTGGAAAAGATTGCACTGCGTTGCTTCACTTATTTTATGCAGTTCTGTGTAGGTATGTTGTGTCTAACATTGTTTTTGTAGTTAGTTCCCTAGATGTTGTAATCATATCATCTATCATAAATTTTTGCTATCAGTCCTGTTATGAGGTATGAATTTCAAATAGCTGTAAATATTGCAAAAATGGAGCAGTTATTTTAACAGCCTCACATAATATTTAATCGGTAATATGGATTGTTGGACTCTTTATACTTGAATAAAGAAACACAATAATATTTTGGTAATTTCAGAAAATATCCTGAAGGCAAAGAACCAATATTATCATTATATGTTAAAGATCCGAATCCTTTTGATGAAGTTCGTAGATTCATGGAGGAATCATGTAAACGGTAAAGATCCTTGAAACGCTTGTTCACAGATATTGAACACAGCAATATGTATGATATTGAGTATTTCTAGACTGTGTAGAGCTAACTAATTATGTGCTCCAAATGCAAGGGCCTTGTTGGCGGTGCAGCGTAGATGCAAACTACGCTGTTGCAGGGAGGAATCCAACAATATTTTTGGTAGTTACAACAAATTCAGATGGGTTCACACACTCACTTGCCCTCAACATCAAACTCCTTGTGACTGTGTGTCATGGCCGCATATTTGAATCCTTGGGGAGATAAGTATAAGTAGGCATATTTACTGGTTTCCTATCACAGGGTGGGTGGTTCATTTATCATCTATTGGATGAATATGGTTTCCTATACCTATTATATATATTCATCTGGAGTGTTGGTTTGATATTCTTATACAATATCTCAGCCATACCGAATTTTACCGATTGCCTGACAAAGCCCTGGTTCATTATATGATTAAGCAGGCTGATCAGCTCTTTGGTTAGTTGGGATAAATATATATTCTTTATTTATCTTGTGGTGTCATCTGCATTACAGCTATATATTCACCTTAGATTTGAGTTGTACACCTTTTGTTTTTTTTTAGGTACAAATTGAAATTAGTCACAATCGATGATAAAATTAAGCCAGCGCTTGAAAAGTTGAAGTTAGAACACCCTGAAGTTAAAGCTACATTAATGGGAACAAGATATACAGATCCATACTCAAGAAATTTAGCAGCATTTTCTCCAACTGATGATGACTGGCCATCATACATGAGAGTTAATCCAATGCTGGTTGGTTTTTATTGCCTGTCTATTTATCATTTGTGTTTTAAAAATATATGATTATAATTATTTACTTTTACATTTCATGCTTTACTGAACCTTTTGTAAGCTTTCTATCTTCACTTTGTAGTGAAGAAGATTTCCTAAAGGGGGAATTTTTGACCAAAAAGGGTGACATTGAAAATTCAAATATTTTAAATGTTTTGAGAATTTTTTTTTAGTAAGCTAGTTGGTAAATCAATATGATTTACAATCAATATTTTTGTTTTTTTATGAATAGATAATGAAAGTGATATAAAAATACTTCCATATTATGTCAACAAATTATCAAATACAACTAATTTAGAAAGATTTTGGGATGTGTTTGAGTCCGACCAGCGACAATATTGATTTTAGAAAAGTGACTATAGCTGTTCTATTTATACATATTGTGCGTGACAATGTTATGGAATCTAAGTATATTAAAAACTTGTCCAGTTCAGAGAGCTAATGTGGAATATTGTTTCCTTTTCATTCATTTCTTTTTTAACATGTTTTTTTAGGATTGGAGCTACCATGATGTTTGGGAATTCTTACGATCGTTACACCTTCCTTACTGTGTATTATATGATAGAGGGTAAAAAATTTAATTTGTTTTATTAATCTTGATTTTGTACTGTAATTTGTAATCTGGCGTTTGTAGACACAAATCAAACGAATTTTCAAGTACTACAAATACAACTATATAAAATAAAAGATCATATGGAGATTCCTATTCCATTGATGTTTGGCTCTTATGACTCATTGTAAAGAATGAAGACTGGCTAATGAATAAGCATATGTTAATAGAGTGCTGGGTTTGCCAAATGTCAATCAGTTAGTCTTTCTCGGCCATCTACCTTAATGCATTGGTAATGTTGAACAAGATAGTTAACTTATTCTGTCCCAGCATGTTAACCACACAAAAATGGGCCCTGTTTGCAGTAGGGTTTATTGCTACATCAGACTTCCAGCTTGAGTAATCGAAATCCTATATTGGGAGTACTATTGGTGTGTGACTTTATTCATAGATACACTAGTTTGGGAAGCAAAGAAAACACAAAACGCAATGAAAAGTTGATGTATATAGATGAAGATTCAAGAATTAAATATAGGCAAGCATATACTTTGCAAGATGAAGATTTTGAAAGGAATGGACGATTATAATGTTTCTTAAATATTTGTGTATATTGCTTCAAATCGAACATAGAGATACTAAATTAATGCTGTAAATGCTTTAAATTTAAGATTGTTGAAATTACTTTTAATGGCAGATAAGATGGTTAATATGGTAATGAAAAAAAATATTACATTTATGAGGCGTTTTATTTTATGCCACTGATTTTTTTTACAAGCTGTGCAAAGTTATGCTTTTTTGGTGTTGCTTATGATCAATATGTCCCATATCCCATTCTGTTTTAATTACATGCCAACCTTACCATATTAGATATGCCATTTAAATGTTCTTAATTTCTTGATGTGATTCTGGTTTTTTTCATTAATATCTTAAAAATTACTATTGTGCATGCAATTGTGTTTGTCTATTTGCTTATGAATTATGAACTGCAGTTGGTGTGCATAGAATACAACAGGCTTATCAAATATTTATTGAAGAATTAGGTGTCTGCAAGAGCCAGCAAATTTTACCAGTTGTTTATATTTCAATTATTCATAACATGTCTCAATGATTAGTTGGCTATCTTTGTGAGGAGTTCATACTATGTGTATCCGGAGTATATATTGAAACAGTAATTTTTTTGTCCCCGACATACATATTCTAAAATTTACTGAGCGCTATTAAATCATTGCCGTGATTCAAGATCAATCCGTTCACTTTCTTTCAGTCGTCTAAGCAGGCTATACCATACTATATACTAAATATATGTACACTATATATTATTCTAACCACATGTTTGGCAACTAAATTCTGCTTCCTGTCTGTCTACTTGCTTGTATTCAAAATGGCGAATCTTATAGAACTTCGAAGCTTATACAAGTAAGCTTTGCATATAAAAAAAACTCACATACAGTATATAAATAATAGCAAAAGCTCGTATGAAAATCTATCAGGTGTTTCATAATTTGCCGTTTTTACGCCTATGAAGGGGAATCTAAATTTGTAAATTATATTCAGTTGAAAAACCAGTCATTAGAATATTCTTGCGTTGAACCCCCGGCACACAATCCTGTCATTAAGCCCGCATAATTCATTCTGGGTCATAATCCAAATGTCGATATTCGATTTTTCTACTATTCTATGGAATATAATTGCCCATTAAAGGCTAACAAGCAAATCTCCGGCGTATTGTCTCTCATAATACAACACCCACTTGCGTTATGGTAACTGTTCGAGCAAAATCTCAGGCTGCACGAGAATAATCAATTTGGACTTCGGTGCAGGTGGTTGTAGGATAGGATAGGATTTACATATTTATCCCGGGGGAGAGGAAAGCCAATAAGACGGCTTATCCATATGGCGAACCACGGCCTCTCGTCCGGTTACCATTCCAAGTCGGGTATGGGATTAGTTTTTACTGTATTGTTTGTTTTCGGAAGCATGGACTTGGTGGTGGAGGAAGCCGTAACCGACCAGCGGTTACGTGAACCACCCAACGACGGCGAGGAGTCCAGCAATCCTCTCGCACATAACCATCCCTGCATGGGATTCGAACCTGCGAACCCACGCAGAGTAATTAGAGGTGCGGTGGCGAGCGTATTCCTAACGCTTAGCCCGTTGAGCCACACCGCCGCGCCTTGTAAAAACAGAATTTCAGAAAAGTGTTGGTAATTGGCAAGCTTCGACATACGAAAATCATTTTTATGCTGGGTGAGATGCTACGGGTACGAATATAAATGGAAGTTAATAGAATACAGTAGGCTATATGCTTTCTCGTTGTTGACATAAATTATTATTTGGACTCATACATATGCCAATTGAATGGGAATGTATACCTCTACTAACGTTTCGAAACGACGATCAATTCGAATTATGAATAAAACATTGAGCGCCATGCAGTGTATTTTGGAAAGCAACGATGTACCTAATGAAATCGGTTTACTGGAAACACCTGGGCGTTATATATACGTACGGTGAAACTATTTAGTAATAGCCTATGTTTAGTAAAAATTGTGTCAGATGTATAATATGTCGACGAAGAAACAGTAAAGGCAGCCTACATCTCAATTAGCTGTGGTTATTACTGTGTGAGATAACTGAGGATAGGGGGTCAGCGCACAATACCTATTTGATGCTACTTCTGGATATTACGATTTTAATACATAAAGTTTCATAAACAATCTATTCATCTATGCCTTCCATAGTATCAAAGAAATTAAGAACTGAAGTTTGTACATTTATTCAAAACTAATATAGTATGTATGTTTCTAGTTGTGGCATGTGTTAAAAAATATAAGGTATAAATGCTGTATGTAAGCTGTTTAAATGATGTCCGCGAGGCGTTAGATACCGGTAGATACGACCTAACTTCACGAGGTATTATAAACAGTGGTGAAATAATATACTAAACACAGAAAAACAAAAGAAGCTAAGTAACGTTAGAAGTATTTACGATGTAAACCAAAGGTATAAATTGAATTCCTCCATCAATAGAGAAATACGTCTTACTGGGGACGAGAACGAGTCACAAATAGGGTTATTGAGTTTGTCACTGGATTAGGGTGAATGTTTTGAGTTCTCTGAACATTTGAAAACGGTCAATAGATGAGTATTGAATAATTATCAAGAATGAATTGTGATTACTATTGAAAAGGGTGAAGTTAAATGTAGCACGAAAAATGGAACTGGACAACTGGCGTTCGTAGCGATTATTTCCAGTCGCAGTCCCGCAGAGCAAGCAGCAAGACACCCACTTTTTGGCCTACAGAATTCTGTAGTCAATTAGGTTACGTCTTTTTAATTATTATTTGATGAGTTAATTGTATTTATGTTTAGGGGAATTCAAAATAAATGGTCTGAAGTAACAATTAGTAAATAACGCCTTCTTTGATCGGTTTTCAGAATAAGAAAATATGATCATAAGTTTTTATAAATTGAATTGGGAGGACATATCTCTAGTTGGAATCACAATATATTTTGTTCTGACTGTGCTCATATTGGCAATATTGATATTATCAAATCAATTCAAACATGCCAGTTTTAACAAGCAAACTTTCGGATTCGAAAATGAATATGAGGTGAGTGGAGTTCTTGTCATAATGAATGGGAAGATTGTATTTGGCCTTTAATTTATATTAGCTAACTGTTTGCAAAAAAATAAGAGCTAATTATTTAGAAACTTAGGGCTGCTGAATTTGAAACCGCAGTTTTATTACATCACACCGATAGGGTGCATGAACATTATCGTGTCGTTTTTTTTTTCGAGAGTATATTGATCGCTCAAGTGTACCAGTTCACCCAGGTTGTAATATTGATCATGCAAATTCATTATATATAATCTATTCACATGCATAAATTAAATATAATTTAAACGCTGATTTGTTTTACACATCTTCAGAATACATCATCGCTCTTCGAAACAACTGTTATTCGTCTTATGATATGTTGGATATATTCGATTTCTATAGCATTTCTGGCATTTTCTCGTTTACAATGTGGTACAGATGAAATCTTAACTCCGGAGATGTGTTCTGTCGCTTTGCAAGTGAGTATATTTTTGAATGGATGTTTACGGCATTCATTGTATTTCATTGATATGTTTTCAATAAATGTGTAAAACTGTAGTTACTTGTATTTAATATATTTTGTTTACAGATATTCTTTGCTATTGAAATGCATTTGATTGTAGCAGAACAATTTTTGCATCGTTACAGTATAATGAGGGAGACACGAAACATTTGCAAACATGTTCTGCTGAAGTTTACGGCATTTTCTATAGGTGACTACACTTTCGAATTTCGATTATAGTGTTTCATGATAGATACGAAAAATAACTAAACTAAGCATTCGAAATAATTAGATTAGATTGTCCTTCAGCAGTAACTATAAGCTGGAAAAACTATGATCTCATTACACTAGCATATTGTCCATTTGCTTAAGAATATAGGTTATCCATAAAAGCTTACGCGCAGTACGGTCAGATCAATCTATTTTCAACAAGATATCATTATATATATTTATTTTTTGGAGAAATTTTGTTTATTTATTTATTTTCGTCACACCTGTATTATAATTTTGAGCAACATTTCCTTTTTCAGTTTTACCCACGGCTATGATTCTTCTTATGTTTTGCATTCTTGGCAAGACTGGATTTGTCCCAGTTGCATCTGAATCATTGGTTGTACATGATAATAATTCACAAATGACATGTTGGATCGAGTGGAATGCAACGTCGGTACAAATTTCATCTTCAATAGCAGGCATTGCTGCGATCATCAGCTCAGTAATAGCTTTGATGAATGTTGCAAACTTGTTGAGAATGGAACTACGGGGAATCCAGGTATTAAATAATTAAACTTATATTATATATAGCTTAAGTACAACGAAAAATTCTATTGCGATATTAACAATTTCGATTAATGATTATATATGCATATTCTAACAATTACTAAGCTATGCCTTAAGTTAAAATCGATAAATGCATACATGAGGTAGCGAACAAATGGTTAATAAGACGCCAATAATTATGAATCGTAATATATTGCCCATACTAACCGTCGGTTTTGGTATTGATAGGTAATCATAATAGATATCATAGCCGTTTTTATTGGACGTGATGTTTGCATATCTGGTTTACAGTTTTGAACAAAATCTATATTTATGTACCCAGTCAGTTAGCTGAAACTATTGCATGATATAACCCTAACGGCGACAGCACCTTCTTGCTCATGTACATTGGCATCCATGCAAATTAGCATCCACAGATATTTCCAACTGAACATATTACATTTGGTATCGTAGGTGTCATTCAGATGTTGGTGGGGCATTGCTACTCGAATCGTTTTCATGGTAATTACAATTGCCAAGTGGGCGTCCATAGTTTTTCATACATCTTGCCCGGGAAATGTATACAACACCATTGCCACAATATTTGTTTCTCCGATTTTAATGGCGATCATGTTCACCAGATCGAAAACCTGCAGTCGAAAGAGAAGGTATGATCTATAAATTTTTGAATCGAATTGTATTTGTGTCTTATTTGTTCCTCAAAATTTCTCTGAACAATGAACGCGTTTCTTTATTTTGCAAAGAAAAATGTTATGAAAAATCATAACTAAGTTTAGGAAGTATTAGCAAAGAATAAACTATTTAGATTAGAACGTATTATCAGTTTTAAGAATGGCCTTGCTGTAAATTCTGAGAGATTATCCTAGTTAATTAACGTGAGTGATTTTCGAAAACCAGGATGCCAAACCAATAACAGGGCATCAGAAACAAGATGCATATTTGCCGTCGCTAGTTGTCGACAATGAGGCCAAACAGAAAGTTATTATCTCCATGAAAATAGGAAAACATGTGGCGGGTGTGTTTACAAGATATTCAGCAACCTTTTCTTATTGTATATGATATAAATACCGATAATCCCAAATTCAGATAATTTGCTGTAACTTAGAGACAAATTATGAAAAATATGTCACGCAAAATGTCAAATATCAAATGTCATAAATAAACCGTCTGTGGTAGATCTTTAAAATAAGCGCAATTAAAAGAATATTACGGAATGTTAAATATTTTGTTGCTGTTTTGAATAAAATTTTCAAGTCAGCAAATAATCATCAAGTTGCGTAATACGTTCATGAAAATTTATTTTCTGCGGCACTTCATAGAATACGATTTAAAAAAAAATTGTAAAAAATTGTACAGGAATGTACAGAAGACAATGTATTATTATTGATAGATGTATTAACTTATCTCTCGCAATTTGGTAAAAATAAAAGTATAACTTTCATAATATTAGGTTGAGTTTATCGCAGTCTTAATTTTCGAAAGAGTTTACTTCTGAGATGAATAATCTTAAAATAGAACTGTTCAAAGTTGTGAAAAGCCAAGTCCTAATTAAGTATATGGCATTATATCAATTAACAGTTTCAAAGGCAAAAATATGTATATAATTTTCTAATTCTTAACCGCAAACGTTGCTATATTTGTAGAAGGGCAAATCGTACATTGAAATATAATTTTCGGTGCTCAGCAGACAATTTTCTCTTGCGGTATTGAAAATATTTTGAAATGATTCAAAACGAGCAACGTGGAAATTCAGTTTTGGTTCATTGACAATAAAATTATTTTTTACCACTTTGTTAACTTGTAAGGTTGAACGGCATCACAAATCCCTCACACAAAACGTATTCGTCCTTCATTTTAAGAAAATGGTAAGAAATTGCAACGAGATAGAATTACGAGGGGTTGGTGGTCTCGACAGCTATGGATGTGTTTTATTATTATTAAGTGACCATGACGATAACAATTTTCTGGCTTCCTAACTTCAAGGGTGATTTGACACACATGACACAAATATGTGATAATAATGAAGATTTCACGAATTCCAAGCTCCGGTTAGATCTATTGTTAGGGTGTAAGGAATACAGTGAAAATACAAACTAAAAAAGATAAACCCCAGTAGCACCATGCGTTTGACCATATGTTTGAAAATATGGCCATCTGGCAGCAAATGTGCGAACCAAGTTAAATTGTCTTGTAATGTTGTATATGACATTGCTGATGAAGTTGGCGACATGGATCTTTACCTTGTGTGATAATAGCAACATGTACCTAAAATAATAAATAGGCTTATTTCTGTCTACGAATCTACAATAGAAACAAACATGTTAGCTTCGAAATGGATTTTTATTCTCGGCAACTAATTGCTTCGTTCCCACAGCGGTAAAAAGTTACGTTATTCAGAAATAATTTTGTGATCCTTGCGAAAGCCATGCCGATCTAATCGTTCTCTTTCTCATCCTTTCCCACAGCATAATCCAAATAATATCTATAGGATAATAGTATAAACAAATCCGTTTCCATAAAAATAATTGATTCTAAACAGTGGTTTGTTTACGTTCAATATCTTGATTTCCGTTACAGTAATCTTCAAATGACACCGCCTTCCGCGGGATCATGCTCATTGAAGCATAGCATCCGATATAGAGTTAACTCGAGTTCCATCAAATCTATGGTAAATCTGGTATACGAATTTTTAATTATTTTGCAAATACTTCTATCTATGAGTAATCCCGTAGTGTGTGTACCAGGTTAGAGTTAGGCCATAATTTTATTCCGATTTTTCTTATTTTAGTTCTATTACGAGTTCGGGGCCTGTCTGTGTAAGCCAAGTGAATATACCGCTCGCCCAAGAGCTTCATTCCCTTTACACAACTTGATGTGAAGTAGGCGACAAAAATGAGTTTCCTTCATATTGGTACACAAACTTCTGGAGCACCCTTCTATGTATAACCTGCGAACTATGCCGATGCGAAACGTTCCGTTATTCCATTCAATGTAACAACTTAGAATTTGTAAAATGACCTCTCAAAAATTGCAAACGATAACAGATTCTGTTTAAAAGCGTTGGGGGTGACGTAATTTTCCGTCTGGGTATTACGACCCCCTGCATGGTTTACCTCTGTCGTTGTTGAAAAGAATTATTCCATTATTAGAATTTATCTCGCGTGCCAGAATTTCCTTTGTATACCTTCGTGTGGGGTCACAGGTACCTTGTTCGGATAAAACGTAGTTATATATGGGAGATATATCACTACCACCTTGAAATCGTTACCTATTCTGAAGCAGTCTTATCCATATATATAATGGGCGATTGTTGTTGGGTAGTCAAAAGGCTGGTTTATATATTCAAAGCCCATTAAACCGAAATTGTGGTCTACCCGCGCAAATCGACGATTTGAAATGATGAATGTATATTTCATTTCCTAATGATGCTTGGAATTTCGTCAGAAGTAATTTGGTGATTGAACACTGTCTGAAATAAAAAAATGCTATGACTGACGTTTGTACAATTGAAATAAGTTATTATAGTCCTCTAAATTAACTTTTCATCGTTGTCATCATAGCAATCTTGATTTTCTGTCAACCCTTCAAAATGTCACATTAGGTAGCGTGCTATGAAAGTTAAATTCACTTGGAGAAAAATCTTAATTTTGGCAACATAAACAGTGTTTAATATCAAAAGAACGGGATTAAATTAGTCATTGTTATCCACCCACGATGCCGAATTCAGTTTGATCCGTTTTATTTATTTGGGGATGTGATTCAGCGACCAACGCGCCCAAGTAAATCTTTCAGATCATTTTAACCGTTACAAAGCATTGTTAGGGATGCTAAGTGAGATTGACCTAACTACAACGGGAAATTATTTTTTCATGATATTCTTCACCATCGAACTTAGCAAATCTCTGGTTTACGACGAGGGTCAGGGTTGAGGGTCTTGATGTTTCAAGTTCTATATAACCCAAATTTGAGCTGCATAACGTAAAACAACAGTTTTACAACCAAAATGCGTCTTTGCACGTATGCGTTTTCTCCTACTGTTATGGTTATAATTAGCCGTTATGATGTCACAATTTATGACTTCATTTCACAGAATTATAGCGACCCTTGTTTCTCGTGGGATATGACGACGAAAAACGTCGCCGGGATATGACTAAACGAGAAATGGCTACAAAACCTGTTGTAAATCCCACGATATCAGGATTTTTAGTAAACTGAATCACGGTGCACCAACGCAAATAATGTTCAGTATTAGAATCCCTATTTACTCCCAAAAGTTGATTCACAGGGTTTTATGTGATATTGCTTTTGTCTTCTAGAAATCTAGAGCATGGGTTTTCAGAGTGGTTCCCCTGCGGAGCTCTAGGGCTCCATGCGAGAGACGAATGGGCTCCGCCAGCTATTAGTTTACTCATTACAATACTGAATTGGCTAATTTTGTAACTGTCCAAAGACGCAATAACGACATCAATAAAATTTGACGACCGCAATTTGAATATTTTTTAAATGCAAAGCAGCAAATACATCCGACTCAATAAATAAGTAATTTTCATTTATTCAGGAACATTAATCGGTGAGTAACAATGTGTTTTTATTTTTATAAATTTATTGCGGTGCTTCGTACATAATAGTCAACCTCTTCATGAGATACATAACATCAAAAGTTTGAGAACCCCTGTTCTGAAGAATCAAGATATAAAATCCATCTGTATATTTCTGCGTGCGAGTTCTATTGCGCTGTTTGATATAAAATAATATGGACTTTATACACCGGTTTTGGCTAAAATGCATCAATGTCAAATCGATTTGGAATGCAATATTTCATTAATATATATACCTTATTTATACGGAACATAGAAACGTCTTTTCTCCCGTAAATGTTCTATTGTAAGCTAGCCGTGAATAACGTCAATATAACTATTATTGGGTGCGAAATATATTTGAATAGCTGACCTGCCTTTGCACATGAATGAATATATTACGCCATAAGATTGTTATTCTGAATGAGTGATACCGGCAGGTGTAACAATTACCTCTGACACTATCAAAAATATCACAAAATTTATGGATCTCCCATATCAATTCTAACTGTGGTTTATATTTCAAGAATAGAGCGACAGATAACCCAAAAGTTCAAGGCCACGATGAAATGCGGGTATACTTGTCGTTTTTACTGTGCGCTTAGTCTGGGTTATACGTGTTGGAATTACATGTTCTCGGGTTAGGCTCTTGATTTATAACATTCCTCATGAATTATACGACATACGTACATAGTAAACAAAAAATCAAATTTTCGAATAAAAAATGTTAAAAACAAACGAATGGTGGAACCGAATTAAGTTTTTCTATATATATTATTTCATTTTCATTTCTTTTGCTTTCTACTAATTTTTCATTCGCATCAGTTTATAAATCGGGCACGTCAATGGTTCACCTAACTTGCGATTGCTTTTCAAACTCGCTTTAATAATGTCGACCCGTGATAGGCTATTTCCGTAAAATAAAAGCGGAACCGAGCACATAAAACCCACGGAAGTCGTTAAGAAATACTCCAAATATTTGTTGAAAAAAATTAAATCTCTCGAACAAAAGATCCAAGATCGTCAGAGACGCGTGTGGTGATGTGGACCTACAGACCACCATAGACAAA